AGCCAAGCTGAAGGCAATCTTGCCCTCTAATAACTGTTAAATAGCCCCAGTATCTATTAATCCTTCAAAACCTTTTTCCTTCAATGCCATGAAGGGAAGCAAGCATAATTTTAATTCCTCCAACATAGTAACAACTCCTGGCCCATAAACTGTTGTGAATTTTGGGCCTGAGGCTGACGCCTCCCTCACAAGGAACAAGCAAGGCAATCAACGAGTCCCAGAAAACACCTTTCTAGGGGTTGGTCATGAAGACCAAGACAAAAGGAATGTCTCACCCAAGCTTCTGCAGAGCCCAATCTGCATTGTCTTAATTTAAATGTAAATGTTCTTAATCTCGGCCTGTTTTAAGAGGCCTGGCACAACAATTATATTTCCTGCAGGCCAGCACTGTATCACAACTTGTTTTAAATACCTTTATTTAACCCTAACTGTTGTCTCTTCTTTTCTATAAACATGGGTGAGTCAAAAAATCCCAAACTCAAGATTAGAACTGCCAACTATAGTCAATGGAATACTGGCAGAAACTATATTTTTAAGTTTCTTTTTTAACATTAGAGCATAACCATAATTTTGAGAAGCAAAACCAAAAGCAAAAAAAATGTAAACAATCTATTTTCTCTAAAATCAACACCAAGTAGATTACCTTTATGTTACAAAGTTTTGTTGTCAATTCTTATATATGAATGTATGAAGGAGCTTTTAATATGTCATTGAAGAGACATTGTTTTAAAATCTTGTCTTTTATACATTTGGTTTCTGAATGACTCTAACCCTGAGTTAGTTTTATGCCAACTTTCTGTTACCAAAGTTGTAAATTTCTAATCACACCCAATAACTTAAGCCAATAATCTATAACCAAGACATGTAGAACATATTTATACTTTTAAAACCAATCAGAAACAACAATGAAGTGGCTATGCATCTTATATATTTAGACCAAACAAAATTTTCTTTCTCTTTCTAGCTGCAATTTCAAAATAAAGGCACCATGTCACAGAGATTTTTCTGAGACAAACAACTCTCAGCTTCCTTACAGCATCCAAAATGGTGTTGGTCCCCTTAAGATCAGCTTATGCAAACAATCAATTTCTGAAAAGGCTTTTCCAGCTCAGCTCAACTCTTAGCTACAGGTAACTCATCTGTGCACATTAAGACTGTCTTTAAAACAAAGTTAAACTAGACCAAGGGTTGGATCAAGCAGTTTTAACGATCTTTTCTTTTGAACATGCAACATAGAACAAACATTTAGACAATGAAACAAAAAAACAATTGACACACGTGGACATTGACGAGCCAATGACAGACAACAAAGAAGGACATCTAGGAGCTAAAGAGAAATTCCAGACATCTCCTGAATTTCTTCTGTTCCTAGAAGAGCCCTGAAATAGCCTTTTCATTCCTTTTTGCTGACATAGCTTAGAAAGAGGACAACTGTTTTTCTGAAACCCTTTTTTTTCTCTCTCTCTCTCTCATATTCAAGATGTAACTTTTCATCTCCTTCTTTGGAGATGTAGCAGGCAGCTAATGTAACACCTCAGTGCCCTGCTTTCTTAGTTTTCCAATTCTTTCTAACCCTGCTCTTCCCGCCTGAAGCAGCTCTTAGACTGCGGGCAATGCCTGTTTAGAATTCTCCTGACCTATCATTCGCTGTCACCTCCTAGGCAAAATCGGCATCAGGTCAATATCTATTCACTTAGACCATATCCCCTTAAATACACTTCTTGCAAACACAGCCATAGCTAGCATCAATGCTGTTCGTTGCTTACCAAGTGTCCAGGATACTCTTCTTGTTCCGTTTTCCATAGAGCTCTACCTAAGACAGCGTTCCTCAGCTGGTCTCTCGTGTTCAGGCTCCAAGTCAGGCGCCATTCTGTTGAGGGCCATCAGTCACAGTCGACCGCGTTCACCTGAAAGAGAGGCTGGGAATGGAAGAAGGAACAGGAGGGCGAGAAGAGATGAAGCCAGAATAAAGGTTTCTGATCGAGGCTCAATGCTTTAATGTTCAGCTTCTAATTTAAAGGGGATAACCCACCCCCACCCCCAGAGTTCCTTCTTACTTCATCTGGCTGAGGGTGAGCAGAAACCATCCTGCTGGAGGTGAGAGGAATCCACACTTAATTGCGGCCGGAGATGTCAAGCCGTCTTGGGTGTGGGAAAGCTGGGGCTGGTGTGAGAGTCCCTGAAGCCTTGGGGTTCTCAGACTCTTGACATGCAGAAGGCACTGGGAATCACAAAAGAGCAAAGAAGGGAGTTGGGGGCCTGGGCCTGGGGTGGGGATGTGGAGAGGAACTCTTGTTAGTCTCATTGGTAAGAGTCCTTGGCATGATGGTGTTGGCCTTTGTGGTGGTTGTGGCTAGGAGCACAGATATAACTTCTATGGGAGATGAGGCTGAGGCTCTGTACATAAAGGCTCCCTTAATGGCTCCAACAACAGATCTTGGTGAAAAGAGATGGTCCATGGTCCCAAATAGTTTATTGCCATGGCAGAAAGTGGATTTGTAAAATCATATCCTACCACAAATGTTGGGCCTGAGATTAAACACTTTTTGAAGGGAGGAATATCTGGGAAGGGGAGTTTACTGGTTATGCCCTCAGAGCCTCTAAAGCATCATTAACATGGAGAACTCTGTTATGAGCCTACTTAACCTGTGGTCACTCCTCTTTTATGTGAGAAGCATGGCATCTGTTCTAAGTCAGGAGTTTAGCAGGCAGCTGGGAGTCACCTAAGTCTTAGCTGTGTGCCCTCCACATTCCAGGTCTTGACCTGCTTTACCTTACCAAACTTTCTGGCATGGTTTTATGTCCCACCCCACGCCACCCTGGGGCTCCACTTGTAAGTAACCTGCATTAATAACAAGCTGTTCATTGGCTACTAATGTGTATGGATTCTAGGTCCAACTTCTGCATGACCAGTGGTTAATGGCCTAGATTGTGTGAGCCCCCACAGACCCAGGTTAGTTGAGTATGTGGACCTTCTTCTGATGTCTTTGACCCTTCTGACTTGCTCACTTCTGTCCCTGACTCCTCCACAGGACTCCCCAGACTCCATCTGATGTTTGGCTGTAAGTCTCTTCATCTGCCTCCATCCCCTGCAGGGTGAAACCTCTCAAAAGACAGTTATGCTAGGTTTCTACTTGCAAGCATAGCAGAGTAATTGTGTCAGTAGTTGTCTCTCTCACATTGGATGGGATTAAAGTTGAAGCAGTCATGCATTGGCTGTTCCCTCTGTCTCTGCTTCATCTTGATTCCTACATACCTTGCATGGCAGACAAATTTTGGATTAAAATGTTGTGGGTGGATTGATGTACACCTCTCTCCTTTGAAAGTCTCCCTGACTACAGGAGATTGCCACTTGAAACTTTATATCCCTCTTTGGTAGGACTCTCAGCTAAAGTCACCCCAAGTAGACATCCCATCTCCTCTTTCATCCCAGGCCTCCAGCTAGTCACCAGGGATGCCCACAGGTTCATTATCAATCCCAGTCCTCTCCACCTGACAACACAACCTCTCCACACCTGATTGCTATAACAATTCACTTCCTCACCTCCTCTCCTACCAAGTTCCCTCTCTCCATCCAACATACCTAAACATACTAAAAGCAATGTACAGCAACCCAATAGCCAATATCAAATTAAATGGAGAGAAACTTAAAGCAATTCCATTAAAATCAGGGATAAGACAAGGCTGCCCACTTGCTGCCTATCTGCTTGATATAGTACTTAAATTTCTAGCTAGAGCAAGAAGACAAGAGATCTTGTATCTATGAAGTATCCAGATTCACTAATATTATCAGAGATAAGTAATTCTGATTTTCCAAAATTATTTGTTGATAAAGATGGTAGAATAGAGGCAAACAATATTCTACTAAACTATCACAAATCAGAAAAAAATAAACAAAAATCCACGTGACAAAAAATATGAGAAGCATTGAAAAACTAGGGTGCATTGGAGTAAAATGAACTATTAGAAAACTAGATAAAATACACAAAGATTGCATAATACAGCTACAATGGGAAAAGCAAATGATGACCAGAAGTGCTAGACCAAAATGGTGGACAAGAGGGGAATTCTCTCCACAGATCTTGTTTTAAATGGAGCTAAAGAAACTCCACTGGAGAAAAATACAGCAAACTTAAATAGTGGATAAATGACCCACCAATCAGATGCTGGGATGTTACTCAAAGGTGCTATCCCATGTCACTCTGTTAAATAGTCTGATAAGAAAGAAGCAGAGCACAAAAGAAACTCTGCACTCAAAACCTCTGCTAGGAACAATAGCCAATGAAGCAGAACCACTTCTGGCCTCAAAATATTGCAAGCCCTGCTCTCTAACCAATGAAAGCAAGAGACTCTGAGAAGCACAGAGAATGACACAGGAGCCTGCAACAGGAGCGACCTGATATGAAATCCTATCAAAAAGGTAGCTATTGTGTGAATTTGGGATGTGTTCTACTAGCTGGGCTGCCTTGTCTGACCTCTGACCTCAGTGGGAGAGGAAATGCCTAGCCTCCCAGAGACTTGGTGTCCCAAGGTGAGGGGGCGGGTTATACTCAGGAGAGGACCTACTCACCCAGAAGAGAAGGTAGGAGAGACTGTGGATGGGGGTGACCTGTAGGTGGCAGTAAGACACATGCAAAGTGAATAAGAAAAAACACTAAAAAGTATTCATGACAAGCCTGTGGATTGTGATAGCAGGTTCCATGGTAACATGACAGTATTTACAAGGTTAAGATTACAGAGGATAATGAAGAAACAGAGCCCAGTCCTTGAAATATACAGGGAAACTGAAGGACTCCCAAGCAAATTGCAATATGAAACTGGTCAGGAGAAATGTAATTAAAAGCAACGCACAAATCTGATGATTAGAAAACTCAAATCAAATGCATTTCTTCATCTGTCTATGATTTAGTGAGGCCACATGTTGCCTAAACGATAGGGCCTCATGTAAGTGGCATATGGGCGAGAAAAATTACTTACAATTGCTATTTTAAAGGCCCACCATGAACAAGCATAAGATTGTCCCTCTGGAAAGTATGGACACTAAGAGTATGAGGATCCAGATGGACCTGGAATGTTTTCCAGATCTGGTACAGTGACTGGTGACTGTGACAGAAGACAAAGGAATAAAAGACACTAGACTCTGTGGGGATATTTTGACTCAAAATTTGGTCATGAATTACAATGAAAAGCAGGCAGTGAATTTGAAAGCGAGCATTCCAGAGTTCATGGAAGAGCTTGAAGGGAGGAAAGGGAAGGGAATGGTATAAAAAATATATAAAATATACCAGGTTGTTGCTGATAATGCCTCTCCATTGTCATTCAGAAAGTTAAAAATTTGAAGCAATATGTAGGGTCAAAACAAAAAAGATTTTGAGAATTTGAAATATACACATAGTATACCAACACATACAACACACCTGTAATTTACAATGTAATTCTTTTATATGTGTTCCAAAAGGTAGGAAAGTGCACCCCATACGAAGTATCTTTAGAAGCATCTGAGCGATGCAGGACTTGGTGTGACCAAGGATTTTTTATGTGCAATTAGCAGAAGATATTTAAAACTTAATGAAATCATGAGAAAAAAATCTAATGAAAGATAGTTTGAGTGAGCTAAATAGACTAGATATGTTAGTCATTAATTGTGATTATATTTTCTTACTGAAGGGACAACATGAAAATATATCCAAGTATAAGGGGAAATATTACATAACTAGCATTTCCTCCTCACAAATTTCACTTCTAGAGTGTTTCTATATTTATATTTGCAAAATCAAAACCCTGGTACCCTGATTTACAACCAGTACAGATGAAAGGTATCAAGAGGAAATAGCAAAATACAGGACAGTGTGCAGAAAAACAAATGTTTTCAGAAAATAAAAACTGAATTTTTCTTCCCAGCTTTCTTGTGAAGACAGGGGGAATGGAACCTGCACAGAGTAAACTAGCCTTTGCAAGTCCACACCAGGGACATCAGTCAGGTCTTTTAACTTATTATTCTGCCAACTAAAGGCAAGGTGGACACAATGACATTACCCCAACCTCACATGTCAACTCTTCCCTTATTTTGTAAATTAATTAAACAGCCATAGTTGCTTTGGTATTTCTTCTATAAATGTATTAGTTACTTCTTTGTCCCATGCACTGCTTAAATCAACCAGAACTTTTCTTTTACTTAGTGTCAGCCATGGTTTCTTTCCCAGTGATGCTGTTTCTGATAACTCTGTTGCTGCCAGCAATGCACCCTGAAAGAAGGGTAAGTTTTACATGGATAATTATCTCAGATATTCCTAATATTTTATAACATTAAATGTCAGGAGCAGCCCTGCTTATACACTGAAGGCCTAAAATGAGCCATACGCCTAAAATCAGCAATAGGCCTGTCATACATGTATGCTAACACAAAGTCTTGGGTCTCTGTGGAAAAACACTGAAACAGATAGCTGGGAGTTATTGTAAACAGGCAGCTTTGGTGGAAGGCTGCCAAGCCTAGTCATAAGGCCTTGTAGATAGGTAACCTTGGTGGATAGTACCAACTTAGATAAAGACAAGTTAATCATAGGTGGAGTCATAGTAGTCTGTCCCCTGAACCTTCACCCAGCTAACACTCTGTTCTGGAAGAGATCTGTACTCCCCCTGAACACCTACGCTTCTGCATCATCCCCTTCCCCACATCCTGCCTTTTTGTGTACAAAACCTGTGTGTGAAAAAGTAAAATTACTATCTGATCAGATTATAGACAGGTCGCCATTCCTTTCGTCTTTGCTTGCCCCCCTCCTCTGACCTCCCTGGACCCTGTTTAATGTTCTGCTGGACAGGACAATTAAATAAGAGTAAAGAAATCTTGGTGGTATGTTAGGTTACAGCATTCTCTTTGTGTTATGGAATGCTATGGAGATAGAGAATAAGGTTGCACCCGACACACACACACACACATAACTGGCAGTTATATTTCCCACTAGTGACAGCTTGGTACTGGATACTTGAAAAAGGGAAATGTGCAACAAATAAATATATGACACTTATCAGACAACAACGATGCACATTTAGGGGACTCAGATATATGTCCATGAGTAAAGCAATAAAAATTGAATTCAGATATAAAGCTTTTGGTTGGACTGTGGGCCTGCATCTGCTGTACCTGAGGAGTGCATGTCTGCTTGGGGAGGCATGCTACAAGGATTTTGACTGCACTTATCCCAGGGCACATGCCAGGCAGGGTCTAGGCACCACTCCCGAGGTGGAAGAGTGCAGTCTGAGGGGTGAGAAAGCCAGAGCTTGCTTGGGGGTCCTGGGGCATGCAACAAGGCAGGACCATGGAGTTCTCAGGTTCTTGGACATCCAAGCACCTCTGAGAGTTGCAGAAGAGCGGAGAATGGAGGTGGGAACCCACAGACTGGGGACAGCATCTTGCTGAGTGCCAGGGCTAGGAGGTGGGGGAGGGGAGCTCCAGCTTGTTGGGATTGGGGAGTCCTTGGCTTCTTGGCTTGATGGGCAGCAGGCTTGGTGGTGGTTGGAACTGGGAGTGCTGAGAGGCCTTCTACTGGAGATTAGACTTCTGCTCTGTAGGCAAAGGCCTTCTCTGTGGATCTCAATGAAAAGAGGCAGTCAATGTTTTAAAATAGTTTATTGTCTTGGTGGAAAATGGATGCTTAAAACCATATCCTGTTTCTCAGGGTAGACCTGAGATTAAATATCTTTTGCAAGGAGGAATGCCTGGGAAGGAAAGCCTATTGGCTATGCCCTCTGGGCCTCTATACACCTCATTAAGATAGAGAACTCTGTCTTGAGCCTTCTCTTTTATGTGAGAAGCATGACACCAGTTCCAAGTCAAGAGTCTGACAGGAAGCTGCAAGTCACCTAAGCCTCAGATATGTAACCACTGATTCTCTGGGTCTCGACCAGCTCTATCTTACCAAGCTTCCTGGTATGGTTTTAAGTCACACAGCTTGTTTTTATATTCAGTGCTTCTAATGAGAAATGGGAAGCAGGGGCAGAAGAATGCAACAACAAAGAAAGGACATTGTCTCAGATAAAATTGTATATGAGAAACAAAAGTCAATGCTATCTGCTAATTATCTGTTACAGCAAAATGTGAAGTTGGCCTCAATCTCAAGAGATAAATAACCCTTTCTTTCTCTAAGCATGTACATGGTTTCTAGTCAACTTTGATGACATATTGTTCATTCATAATGAACTCTTTTTTATGATTCTTTCAGCATTTATTTATTTGTTTTTACTTATATTGACTATTTGGGATCTCATTTCATTCCCCCAATCACACTCAGCACCCAGTAGTATTTTCATATCTTCTCACCCTTCCTCTGTGACAAATTCACTTCAGAAAAATGTTAAAGTCTACTTTGTGTGGTCCATACATTCACTGAGAAATGGTGAAATTTGTAATGGCCAGCCCATCAAAAGAAGATGAGGTTTTCTCTGTCTTCATCCAACCCAGAAATAATCATCTGGGAGATCTATGAGGAAGCCTGAGGTGGATGTGGCCTGCTGTCTCCTACCTATGCCCTCCCCTATATCTTAGTGCTGTGGGGTGGGGAGTGGTGGGGTCAGCTCCCCATAAACATTAACATGGCTTTAGGTAGCATCACTAACCATGGGCCTTCACAGTGTGTTTTCATGGTAACAAGGACTGAGACAACATGGCCCACATCCATATCAAACCACTGACTCACTCATTGTACTCAGAGGCTACACAGACCATGAGCCTCAAGATCATCTCAGGTGGTGACACATGTCACTAACATCAGCATAGTGCCACACAGTAGCAAAGCCTGAAGCATCAGTGAAGCATTGGGCAGCTGCAAGAATGGCAAATATCCACATAAATCTCAGGCTTCACTGAAGTCTGGAGCAGCAGCATAGACCACTGAAGAAGATATGGACTTTAGTGGCATCATGGAATAAATGATTCTTCGAGGTAGTCCAGTCCAGAAATGGACCTTTTCTCATTTCCCAGAGCCAGGTGATCCCTAACCAGGCAGGAGGTTCTGGGGATGAGTTTGTGTCTGCATGAGCTTCAAGCTGATGCATACCATCCCTGTGACCCTAATGTGCAATGACATGATAGACCTCAGTCCTCTCTTAACTGTTACCATCATGTCTCTAGCTCCACCTTTGTTTCTACCTCACACCCTGCTCTGTTTTCATCTTTTCTACCTCTCCATTGAATATTTGCTCCTTGTAGTGGCGCTTGTGGACTACCAACCAGGCAACACAAGAAACTCTTGAATTCACTGTTTTGTCAATAATTTCTTTTTGCTATATTTATATAATATTAATGATTTTTAAACAATCTGCCCTCCAAATTGAATCTCTACTGTTACCTAAGAAGAATGTTTATACACAAAAGATCTCATATAAGTAGAAAATTACTATCACCTTTTATCTCAGAAAGCACATTTTTTTCTTTTGAAATAAATAATATATATATTATATAGGAGTATAGTAATATGAGAGAAATCATACTTGTTGGACTCTCTTGATTTAGATAAAATGTGGTAATTCACTATTACATGTCTAGCATGTACATTTTTTCTATCAGGAATTTGAAAGTGCCTTAGGTCTATTTGTTCAAACATATAGATATGTTCCCTATTCCTAGGAACATAAAACAGAAGATAGGCATAGACAAAGAGCACACAATCGCCATATAGGATAGTGAGGGCTATGAGCACAAAACTAAAAAAAAAAAAAAAAAAAAAAAATTGTCATGATGGAGTGAATTACTTACCTTGAAATATAAGAAAAGACTATATAATGTTACTGTAACTGGTTACATGTGCTTGATGTATTATTGCTTTTACCCTTAAACCACCACGCTGTAGTAAAATTTAGCCTTGGATTTTGTTCAGACAATTCTCAAGTACTGCCTACCCTAAGCTTGATCCACCCACACACTTATCACAAGATTTGAACCACTGCTGATAGCACAGGATTTGCATTTCTATCAGTTACCTGAACAAATTGAAAAATAATCACTTCACTGGATCAATTGACTCTCATCAAATAGACTGAAAGATTGTTATGTTAATATTGGAAAACTGGGTGTTGAGAAGCCCTAGAGAATGTTGTCCAATTCTGTGAATTAGTAATGGTAGAGTACTGAGTGGGATACTGCTCTTGCATTAGCTAAATCCTCTCTAATGGCTGACAGCATGGAGGCCAGTACTCTTTTTGGATCAAAGATAAGTCATGAGTTCACTGTCTCTTACCATTATACTGTGACATGAGTAAATAAAAGTACATAGATTGATTTTATGTTTCTTACTATACTCCTTGATATAAAAAAGTTTTCTCTGTCACACTTTCTGAAACAGAATCAAAAAGAACCCACCACATCTGCTGAACATGAGAAAAATCTCAAGGCTGTTGTGGACAAGATTGACAGCCAAAGTGAAAGAAACATCACAGAGTCCTTGGAGAGGACATTCTCTGACTCCCATCAAGACCAAAAATTATTTGAAAACCGGGTTAATCAACCCAAGGTAAACCTTTCTAGAATGTTGAATATCCTGCACAAATGCTCTGCTCAGAATCATCAAGTGGAGACAGTAAATTTCAGAAGAATGCCCCATAGGATTCAAGCTACCAAACTTAGGTACCACCAAAACAATTATAAAAAGCAAGTCCTCTACTCTGTGGATGAATTCTTGACTTTAGTGAGAAATGAGTTGATTTCCAAATATGTATAACAAAGTGCCCCTGGCCTCCTACCTGCCGAGCCTATTATTTGGGTCTCTTCCAAGTCTTACAACCTCTTTAGTTAACCACCCAAGTAAAGTGGAAAATTTTAAAAAGGCCGCCACAGAGGCGCAAGCTCGCCGCCGTGGCGGGTCCCCACATCAGGGAGGAAGATCCTACTGTTCCAGCGGCCTGAGGGCCTTGGCGGCGGCGGGCCCCAGTAACACGAGGAAGTCCTTGGTTCCAAAAAGGTTTATTGACATGACGGATAATAGATGGATCTAGGCGTACCCCCCAAAAACTCAGGGCCGTCCCGAGTTATATAGGGAGGGAGAAAAGGGGGAGGATTAGGGGAGGATCTGGGGGAGGAATGTTTAATTTGCTCTGCCCTCTGGCCTTCATTAGTATGTAAATCTCTAAGGCCTGAGGCCTATCGCCTGGGTGACTCTATGGAGATCTGTGACTGTTTTTCAGGATCTTAGGTGATGGGAGGGACCGAACTCCTGCCGGTTCTCATGAGGAATTCCACAGAGAATCTCGGGGTTCTAAGTACCTGCTCAACCATGACCCAGGATACCCTTATGCAGTCCCACAGTCCTCTACTCTGTGGATGAATTCTTGACTTTAGTGAGAAATGAGTTGATTTCCAAATATGTATAACAAAGTGCCCCTGGCCTCCTACCTGCTGAGCCTATTATTTGGGTCTCTTCCAAGTCTTACAACCTCTTTAGTTAACCACCCAAGTAAAGTGGAGATTATAATAAACAAATAAACTTGTCTCTCTTCCAACCAGTTAAATATTAACAATGGCCAGAGGCACCAAAAAAGGCTTCTAAGTCAGCAGTGTGAAGAAATGGCAGCTAGGAATTATCATCTCTTCAGAACTAATGGTCTAACCTTCCTTTCTTTAAATGTACATGCTATTTTCTTGTACAATTCTCAGTAATTTCATCATTGGCCCCTCACTGTTCTTTACTGTAATCTGATCAATTGGTAGTGGAAATGTTTTACATTTCAAACTTTGAGGCTTTGTAGTTATAAAATATTATATATCTTGTTTTCCCCATTAACTTCTCTTTTTTGAGAATTGCACACACATATATGATACATTTGAACTCACTCACACGTTAGACTCTCATTTCTATCTTCCATGAACAACACTCTTCCTGATTTATTACTCCTTGTCATCTTTATTTTGTTGTGACTCACTGGGTTTATCAAGTGATACACACATGGTCATATATAGGGTGGAACAATTGAAGTTCATATCTAAAAGTGTAAGGGTCTCCTCAGAGAATACCTCTTCCTTGATAGTTTTATCTCAGAAAATCTTCAAAGTAGAATTAGATTCTTATTTTGGTAGTGTTTCTTTCTGATGGAGATTTTGATGGTTAATCCTTGCCATTTCAAATTGTTATTAACTATATCTTGGATTCTACTCTTAAACAGCAGTTTTCCATGATGTTCTGAAAATTAACAGGGTCAACTAATCTGGGACATTAAGGGTTCTCAGAAACTGAACCACCATAAACTTAGCCTGCATGAATTAGACCTAGCCCCTCCACCCACAAAACTGGAGCACGGCTGTGCCTGACTCTGTTGCCTGCCTCTGTATCCTAAGTGGGCTGTCTTGTCTGACCTCTGGAGGAAAGGAAGTAACTAGTCCTGTACTCACTTGACATCCCAGGATAGATTGGTTCCCCTTACTCAGAGAAGCAGAGAAGGGTGAGTTGTGGAAGTAGCTATATGAGGGGGTGACTGGAAGGAGGAGTTGGGGTCAGGAAATAAGTGAATAATAAATAAATAAATAAATAAATAAATAAATAAATAAATATAATAATTTTTTTTAAAAAAATGTAACTCACACTCTGTTGAGAATGAAAAAATATTACTCCTTTTACCTAAATCCAATACAGCTTCACAACCTTCCAATTCAATATAGCACTATTTTTATTGAAACTCTAATTTCACTGTTTTCTTTGAAGACATGAACTACAATTGTCTTCTCACATGGAAATAGATCATTATCTCTTCCAGTATGAATTTTCTGTTGCTGAAACTAGAGTCCATTTTTTGGTAAAGTTGTAACCCACTGGATTGGTATGTCATTGTGGAGGTTTTTTTTTTTTCTGTTCAATGCTTTTTAATTGGTAATAAAAGAATATTAGTCATACATTAATCTCTCGAGGACAAATGCCAAAAGGCAGTTTAGAGGAAATAAATACATCTATCTCTACTTGGGCTCAGTGTTTCAGAATCTTCAGGACAGTTGTGTTCCTCTAGCTCACATTAGTCCCCACTGCTGGTGTGACCAAGTAAAGGTGTCAATCATGCACTTTTCTATGGGTCCATTTAGGTCTAATCCTGTTATCACCTCTTGAGCTGAGTATAATTTAAAGGTTATGTCAACATTTTGGTTCTTGTATTTGCAACATCAAAAATCTCAAAAAATGCATACATTTATACAGGAATACAGCTAGTTCTAGAAGGATTCTTATCAGCAAATTGTATGATCTTTGCATTTACACAAAGGTATATAGTGTGTTATACAATATGCATGTTATATAATAACAGAAAGTGACCAAAGCACACACCCTATAGCACAGGAATCCTACCTGAACTAAAATCCCAGTGCTGAGACAAATGTCCATCTGGACATATACTGCTCTTGTTTCTATATCTGCAAAGGTCCTCCATCTCATTTTATCTCAACCTTGCAACCAGGTTTAAAGTTGTATTGAAGTTGATTCTGGAGTGGAAAAGCTATCCAGCTGAAGTTACTAAGACCTAAAATAAATATGTCAGTGGATTTTCTTTGACAACTATATTAGCTATGAGAATCAAGGACATCAGAACTGTTCAAACTCTGCTTGAACTTCTTTAGCCTCATTTTGTTCAGTTGATAGCATCTAACCATTGTCATTTTGATCTATTATCAGATCAACTCATTTTAGTTTCCTCATAGGAATGACAGCATCTGTAGATCAGGAAATAGAGAGTTTTCTATATCCAGCTTATATATATAGCAGGTTGTTTCTATTTTCAAATAAACTATGCAAAAGTTCTCATGGAAACTATTTTGCCTGATGTTTCCACTGTTATAAACTTGCATTATATATTTATTCTCTCTGTGTGTGAGAATGTTTACATAGTTGTGTTTGTAAGTCTAGAGTTCACATTTGAAATAAGATGTCTTCTTCTGTCCCTCTCTAGCTTGCTCTTGTCAGACAGGGTATCTGTTATAATTAGAGATTTGTGAATGGCCAGACTGGTTCAATTTTGTACTAACACCTTCTGGACTTGAGTTTTCCTTTTTATTTTTGTTGTTTCTGATTTTGGTTAGTTGGTTGGTTAGTGCTTGGTTGTTTAATATCTGCTTCTATTTCCTTTGGAGCTAGAGTCATATTTTTAATACATTTTTTTCCTTTGTATATTCTCTCATATATTATATCTGGAGTACAGTTTCCCCTCTACACCCCAATTTTTTCCCAGCTCCTTTCCTATTACTTCCATTCTCCCCAAGGCCCACTCCTCCTGCTTATCCTTCAGAAAACTACAGCCTTCTCAAATATATCTACAAAATATTGCATATCAAGTTATAATAATACTAGGCACCTCCCATCATATTAAAGCTGCACAAGACCACCCCATAGGAGGAAAGTTCCCAAGAGCAAGCAGCATATTTGTAGACAGTTGCACCTCCTACTATTAGTAGTATCATAAAAAGATCAAGCGACACAACAACAACATACATGCAGAGGATCTAGCTCAGACTGTGATAAAAGCTCCTTGACTGTCTCATTGGTCTCTGTGAGCCCTATGAGCACTATTCAGTTTAATCTGTGGGCTGTGTTCTTGTGATGTCCTTGATGACACCCTTGGGCACCTACAACTGTTCCGCCCCTCTCCTACAGCATTGCCTTCGTTAAACTTCAAATTTGGCTAGAGATTTCTGCATCTGCTCCTATCAGTTGCTGGACAAACCTCTATGGTAATTATTGCTCAAACTTCCTGTGTATGAGTAAAAAGTCTATCGTTAAGAATCATTTTATTAACTTTTTTTGGTTAGGATTTTACTAATTTATGTTTTTATTTGTTCTGTTTTGTTTCCAGTCTTGTTTGACTCTGGGCTATTCTGACTTCTGGATCCTGGACCTTGAGGGAGCGTTAGGCATGGAATCCCCCTTGTGACATGAGTCTCAAGTGTGACTAGTTCCTGATTGGCCACTACCACCAGTTCTGTGCCACATTTACCCCAACATATCTTGTAGGCAAGACAATTTGTAGGCTTGTGGCTGGTTTGGTGTCTCAATCCCTCCACTAGAAGCCCTACCTGGTTAAAGAACATAGCCAGTTTATGCTCAATATCCCCTGTTACTAGGAGACATTGGTTACAGGTTTCTTTTAAATTGCCTTTATTATATTGAAGTATTTCCCTTGTATCCTAATTTCTCCAGAATTTTTATCATGAAATGGTGTTAGATTTTGTCAAAGCTTGCTTTTTTGGCATCTAGTGAGATGATTATGTTGATTTTTATTTACAAAGCTGGTTTATATGGTGAATTACAGTAACTGTTTTTTTGTATGTTGAACAATACCTGCATCTCTGTATTGAAGCCTACTTGATTGTGGTAAATTACCCGTTTAATATGTTCTGTGATTTAGTTTCTCAATATTTTGTTGAGTGTTTTTGCATCTATGTTCATATGGGGAACTGGCTCATAATGTCCTTTGTTCATTGAATATTTTTGTTAGATTTCTAGAGTCATTGTGGCCTTGTAAGTAGATTTTGACAATGCTTTTTCTGTTTCTGTAGGGCTTATTGGTCTAATGAAACTGTTTATGTGACCTTGATTTAGTTTGTTATGTGGTACCTATTGAGGAAATTCTTCATTTCATTTAAATATTCCATCTGTGCAGCACAGAATTTTGAAGTAAGATAGAAAGATTCTTTGAATTTACTTGGTGTCTGTTTCTATGTCCTCCTTTTCTTTTTTTTTTTTTTTTTTGT